CCACATCCACCCCCCACGCCGGAAGCTTTGTGCTTAAGTAGTATTTCAGGAATGGTAGAATAGCCGAAACGAGGTCAAGGATCACCATAATCGTCATATGCGGATTTATGTGCATAGACAGGAAAGCGGAAAATTGCTTTTAACCAGGAAAGGCGGTTGTTGGTTTTTTTTTCTTCTTCTTCTTCTTCTTCTTCTTCCCTTTTTTAGTCAGTAGATCGACTCTTACTCCGAGCGGAATCTCATTTTTCTCGCGATTGAGAATGAGATTGGGACATTCCATTTTTTATCCGCAACCGCCCCCCCCCCCCGCCTCCAATGGAAGGTATTATTCCGGGCCGTTTCCTCCGAAAATTTCATTCCGAAAGGTCTTTTTCTTCTGATTTTTCTTCTGAAACTTAGATTCCGACAGGCCTTCTTTTGATTCCGAGAGGCCTTTTTCTCTCTGAAATTTAGATTCCGACAGGCCTTTTTTTTTTTCGGCGAATTCCGACCCCCTCCAATGGGGCAAAAATTCCAGATTCTGACAGATTTCTGCTTGTCAGCACCAAAAACTGCCTTCCATACGGGAGGGGGGGTTGCGGATAAAAAATGGACTGTCCCATTATGAAGAGAGGAATACGCTAAGATAGGTTACTGGTTATTTTCGTCGATTGAACCAAACAAACATTAATGTCTTCAGAATTGGTATTTTGATGCGTGTGTTATAAAAGAGAAGAGAAGACTAGGATAAAAAAAAAAACCTTAAATCAAGTGAAATCGGTAAAATAACGACACCAGGAGCAAACAAACACACGTGTAGACTATGGTAAGCCATTTTTATTTAATATTTTCCCTTTAAACTATCTCCATGGATAGCTTGTAGAAAATCGCATACAAATCCTTATAAATCGATATGCAACTTGTGTTCCTTGTGGGGTTCTTAAAGAGAGCTTGGGCCACCTGTGTATATACTAGCCATGTTTGTTTAGCTTTGAAATGACGCTGTAGGAAAGCGTTTTTGTTTTCGAATATTTTTGGCGCTCTTTCAGCGTTACCTTCTTCAACCTTCTGTTATGCTTTGTTATGCTTTGTTTCCACTTCACTGTAGAAAGCAAAACCAACCCAGCTTGGGTCATGCCATCTTATAAATTTCTCAAACACATGCGGTATTTTTGGAGTTTTTAGTTATTAATCGTTCCTCTTCAAAGTCAAACCTCAACTTCGAGTCAACATGGGGAAAAGCTGTATTTTTTTAATCGCTCTACTCATTTTCAATGTCTTATTTTACTTGTGTCTACTTTAAAAGGAATCTTTCTTGATCTAGCGAGTTTCTCAACCACACTGGCACTGAAAATCTTAAGCGGAAGAAGCGTGTCGGCTTTTGCACATTGCATCCTGCTGCGAGGTTGTGTTTCGCATGTCGCTTTCGATTAACCTGCTGTTAAATATTATTGAATCTAGAAATGGCTGATTGTGAAGAACTTCTGACTAACGTAGAAGATATTTGCACAATCTACGTACTGCTACACGAAATAAAAACACCACTTTTTCGCCTTATTTCCTTACCGATAGGAGTGAATATTCACACGACCTCGAGCTATTTTCCGCGTAAGGCATTTACAATCATTTAAAATTCGTGGTATTTGTTGTGGCTAACGTTAACAAAGGAGTCGAGGAAAGTAATTATTCACAACCTGGTTTGAAAACTCTACAGAATTAGCTATCCAAAATTTTCGCTCGCTTTTATACAACTTGGAAAGCTGCCTGAAAAAGCATCACATTTTTCGACGGTGGCGGCCGCGGTGTTCAAAGTTATAATCGTATCCGGCGAGTCAGAATTCCTAGAATCAAATAAGTACCCATGGCAATTTCGTTTCATTTGAAGTGCCAGCTGGTCAAAAACAGAAGCGAATTTTCTTCGTTGGAAAATGAATTTTTAATGGAAATACGAGCATCTAAATGTAAGAGCGAGTGTTGCTTTTCTCGTTTGTGTGGACATTAAACCACTAACAAACAAAGACGAAAGTGGAATTTTGAATTAACGAGTCACGCAATGTGTGGGCAGAATTAAAAGACAAGTAAAACCGCAGGATAAGAAAAGGCGGGAAAATAGCGAGGTATTAAAAACCAGCGTGGTAGTGCAGATAGCTTTATTTCTGAGAATAGAACATGTTTAAATTGCAGTTCACAATTGCACTGAATTCATGTTTATGTGTTTCGCCGATCGATCGATAAAGTAAACAGCTATAAAAAAATTTGTCACTATTCGATAATGATGCTTCGATCTGTGGGCAAAGTCCGAGGGTGTTAATGTACTCGAGAGAGAGGTCGGTTTAACGCACGAGTGCAGGTTAAAAGAAATATGCGCGATCGCGACCAGACAGTGTAGAAGTCTCTGGTAAATTATAATTTCCTTTATCTCTATGCTAATCCAGCGTAATTAACCTCGTTATTTTTTCCATGCATTGGCAAGTTTTCAATCTGATGAGATTTTTTTGGATGGCATTTTAGAGGGAGTTTTATTAAAACATGTGGAACTGCTATACAATTTATTTTCTAATGTCGGTTTGATTAGTTACCTTGATGTAAGAGTTTCAGTCTCACAAACTTTAAAAACCTTTCAGTAGAAACGTTAGATATTGACTGGCAAGAAATTAAAATTTTATGATTTGCCAAACTTTTATACTGATTATTCTAACTCTATAACTTCCAAGATCTGACTGTTTCTTCTCCCCTCTGTTTTCTACACGTTTCCTGATAAATTGGTTGTGAGAATTTGGTGCTGAATCAAGATAGCAGTAGTCTCATTACCCATTTGCTGAGCTATGTGTTGATACTATTCGCCGGTAACAAAACGAAAAAGGGCCTGGGACTGAAACTGCGATCGCAAAGCATGCATGGATTGTTTGGCTGGACAGAAATCAAAATGGCGTCCATTGCGAATGATAGTAAGCTCTCAGAAACTAAAGAAGAAGGCTTTATTTTAACTGAAGACGATATACCTGGGGCTGTTTTGCAAAACAGAAATGTAGAGGCATGCAGTGTGGTACAGCTAAAGCGCTGGCTGATTTGTAGGGGAGCGAAAACAAGTGGTAAAAAGTCAGCTTTAGTCAGCAGGTAAAGGGTCAAATTCAGCTTTTTCGTAGCTCTTTCTTTTGCTCACATAAAAACCATTAATATTTCTGATGGAAAACATATTCACTTAAAGATTTTATACATTAAATCGTCTGCTTAGAACTCCATTAACATTATTTAAAATCGTTTTGCATAGGCTAAAACACTATGTAGAAAATGGCCTTGACAAGAAATATCTTAGAGACCCCGACAACGGCGCTAATATTATGAAGAAAAAAGCAGATCTTGGTTTGCTTGATAAGAGAGAGCCTCAAACAAATGGAAAATTTCCAAAAGAAGGTTTCAACTCTGATCTCAATGCTCTCCCTAAAGTGTCATTTGGAACCATCTGGCGTTACATGATCGACTCAGTTGACTCAAAAAAACAACTCTCAACTGCTAAACCTCTTGTAAAGGGGTTCAATTTTTATAAGTCTGGGAACGTACATTCTATTCACCATTTAAAGGAAAGTGGGAAGCACTTTATAAAGAGCCAAGTTCTCCCATCAATGAAAAAGAACTTAATATACCAATGTCAAATAGTAATGTCAAGTATTGGAGGAGTACTCAAAGCATATTGTGGTTGCCCAGCAGGAATAGACGGAAGATGTAATCATGTGTCTGCAACTCTCTTTGCCTTGGCTGAATATTGCAAAGAAAGAGAAAAGATCTCCATAGAATCATGTACTTCTAAACCATGTAAATGGAATATCCCAAGGAAACGAAAAGGTCCTCTATCACCAATCTCAGCCATGTCATTTCATAAACATGACTACAGCAAACAAGTTAAGACTGACAGAACACCAAATATCAAGAAAGGGAAAGATGTTCGAGCTATACATCAGAGAGAGTGGTCAGATGCCAAAGTGAACAATATGTTACAAACTATCAAAGACTATCAAACCAAAAGTGGTAACATTGTTGGCTGGAGTCACATACTGCCACAAGAGGTTAAAGAAGAAGACACCATTGTTTCGCCGCTCAAAGTCCTTCCACCATCCCTAAGGGAAATAAGTGAAAAATGCAAAGAAATTGAGAAAAAGTTGAATCTAGAGGAAAAGGAAATTACCAAAGTTGAGCAAAAGACTAGAGGACAATCAGAGGACAAGCTTTGGAATTATCACAGAAAGTGTAGAATAACAGCTTCGAAATGTTACCGGGTTGCCTCTTTGAAGCCCACTACATCACCAACAAAGGCACTTGCAGATGTCTTACAGTATAATAAACAGTATCAGAGTTTTGNTTCTGAGAATAGAACATGTTTAAATTGCAGTTCACAATTGCACTGAATTCATGTTTATGTGTTTCGCCGATCGATCGATAAAGTAAACAGCTATAAAAAAATTTATCACTATTCGATAATGATGCTTCGATCTGTGGGCAAAGTCCGAGGGTGTTAATGTACTCGAGAGAGAGGTCAGTTTAACGCACGAATGCCCGTTAAAAGAAATATGCGCGATCGCGGCCAGACAGTGCAGAAGTCTCTAGTAAGTTATAATTTCCTTTATCTCTATGCTAATCCAGCGTCATTAACGTCGTTATTTTTTCCATGCATTGGCAAGTTTCCAATCTGATGAGATTTTATTGGATAGCATTTTAGAAGGAGTTTTATTAAAACATGTGGAATTGCTATACAATTTATTTTCTAATGTCGGTTTGATTAGTTACCTTGATTTAAGAGTTTCGGTCTCACAAACTTTAAAAACCTTTCAGTAGAAACGTTAGATATTGACTGGCAAGAAATTAAAATTTTATGATTTGCCAAACTTTTTTACTGATTATTCTAAATCTATAACTTCCAAGATCTGACTGTTTCTTCTCCCCTCTGTTTTCTACACGTTTCCTTATAAATTGGTTTTGAGAATTTGGTGCTGAATCAAGATAGCAGTAGTCTCATTACCCATTTGCTGAGCTATGTGTTGATACCATTGGGAGAAGTTACATGTTAATGAAGCTCCTTAATGTTAGACTGGATTGATACTGTAAACACAATTTAATTGAGCAATTTGTTGTCATTGTATCTTGCAGATGGAAAAAATCGTTATTTTGACACTTGTCATCCTCTCATACGGTGTGTAATTTTAATTTCACCCTGCCCTGTACATGAAAAAATTATGTGTATTGGATTAACTAAACATCAATGCATTTTTAATTTAACACAAGTGCAAAAAAGTTTTCACACAAGTGCAAATTACAAATAATGCACATGCACTGTCAAAAGTTTAGCTGTCTGTGGGGCTTTTTTCATGCAAATTGCTGATTAGTGACAACATAATCTCTTGTACAGTTTGGTTTCAACAAGTACTCTTAAATTTTTCAGACTATTAATTCTACTTGCCCTACTGGCTTATGTAATTTTTATGTCCTTTGATAAATTTACTTGTGCACATTAATAACGTATTGCAACCAGAATCCTGCTTTTACCCATAATAATAGTTTTTTAATCTTTTTTTATAGTGGCACTTTCTTCAGCCGATCACCATAGCATTAACGTTACAACAGGTGAGATATTTTAACCTTTAACTCTCAGAAATGATTCACATGTTACTTCTCCCCAAAATATACATGCATTATCCAGCAAATAGGTAATGAGAATACTCAAACTCATCAGGTAGAAGGTGGTATCTTGATCTCACAACTAGTATACAAGGAAATGTGTAGCAGCTAGTGGGGAGAATTAATCATCAGATCTTAGGAATTAAAGGGTTAGTCATAGCATGGTCAGCAGTTTCTACTCAAGACCAAGAGAAGAACTTTAGTGTTCTTATCACCTTTTTGCTGGATAATGTCTGGATATTATATGGTGAAGTTGCATTTTACTTGATTAACCGATTAATGGCCGCAGCTTTTGTGGAAAACTGTGTTTTGAAGCTAGTCGAGCAGATTTCAGGTCAAAGTTACATGGTTTTTTGGCTATTTCTCCAATCTCCTTCACTCAATTGCGCTCATTCTGGTATCACTTGTAAGATATTTTCAACCTGTTCAAGTACGTGCTCAAAGTCGTACTCCCGGGTTAAAAGTGATGACGTCACAAGGGGTAGAAAGGGTGTGGGTCCCCATGGGCGCACTGGACGTCAATAGGTTAACAATCAAGAGCAATTTAAGCTGGTGATCATTTACTTTATTCTCATGACCTACATGTTTAACCCAGGTGTGATACTGAAAGGAGAAATTAGATGCTGGTCTCCTAAAGGGGACAAATGTTTGAGACAAAGGCTAACTCACATTTTCTTTTTGTTTCCACAGTACCAGATCCAAGTAAGTTGATGCATCAACTTTTCCATTGACTTATTAACTTTTTTAAAGTGATTTGTAAAATAATGAGTGAAAAAAAATAAAAGCCCCTAGTGTATATGGCACGAGGACATGCTAAGACATTTGACTGCTGTCATTTTCTGTTCCAAGATTAGGGAACAGTTTTCTGTAAGCAGAAAACAAGGAAAAGTGTAAGCATCCAGGAACTGGTAATGTCCCAGGACAATCAAGGAAGCATATTTTTGCGACAAGAGGATGTTTTTGAGTCAAGCATCCCCCAAATATTTTTGCAATGCCTGGGACAAAATGCTTACCCCCAAAAGCATGTGGTTTACCTCTTGGGATGTTCGATTTTTATTGTTCTCTGGTACACTTTATGATCAGAGTAAAAAGTCCCTCGCCTGTAAATACAGGCTTTTGTCAACAAAATTGGGTGCCTTCCAGAAATATTATCCTATGCACCCCATCTGTAAAGAAACCATGTAATGCTTACTTAGCATAGGTTATGAAATGGCAAAAATTTTCACAGTTTTTGTTTTGGTACATGCAAACTTTTAAACAAGAAACTGATGGTGTTTGCTTGATTCATTTACTAGCTGCCACTTTTCTGCAGACCTCCGAACAGACCGGATTGTATCGCTCAACAAATAAATTTCAATTTTTTGGCCTTCAAAGAAATTGACAGTTTTCACACCTCAAGTGTCAATGAGGTCATGCCTCTCACCAGGGCTCTCTTGTGACTTTCCTAATCTCGGTCATTTGATGAAGATACTTATTTCATTGCTTTCTCTAAGTAAAGGGCAAAACAGAATTTTAGGTACAGTTAAACCTCCACATTTTGCACAACTCAACTTTTTTACCTACTGTTTAATTTTCAGGTCCATCAATGCCACATCCAGCTGCAAGTAAGACTTAATTTTAACTTATTTAGTTACAAGGCAAAGAGAGAAAGTGCTTAGATTAAAATTAAAACATCAAAGTGGAAGTGGAATTGGCTTGGGCAATCAGACCATGAAATGTGGGTTCCCTGTGACTATACCTAGGGCTCTCACTCCTGCACATTAAGTAAGACACTCACAGAAACAATTTTAATCTTGCACTCTTAAGCTGAAATGATTATTTCTCATGCATTTAATGTTTCTGATTTAAGATGTTGAATGAAAGGAACAAAAGGAGTGCATGTTTCAGCTACTTAATTTTTTTTCACAATTTTCTAAGGGAGAACAGTTAGTCCTGTTTCCTTTTACTTACTGCCCAGGTTCAGCCTCTATGGCATGAGGTGACAGCTGTGTTTAATTAGGTTACTAACATCACTGTTTTCTTTTTTTTTTTCTTTCTTTATCTATAGCTGCACCTCCACCAAGTAAGTTTCATTTTGTACTGCAGTTGAACCTGTATTTAGATGCACCGCATTAAGGGTTCACCCCTATAAGAGTCACCTTTGTTAGGTGGTGGTGGTCACCTTTACCAAGTCCTAAAGGGCTGTTTGTATGGTCCTCCACCTTTATTTAAGGATCATGCAAATGCTAATAATCCTAACACTCTTTCTACTTTGTTTTCTCAATCCTTGGTAATCAGTGTTTGATAAAATACAGATATGGAATAACAGTCACTGATTGATTAAATAGGGCAAATGCCAAGAGCCTTTGCCTATAATTTTGGGAAATCTGATAATAGCCAACATACTTGCTTCCTTGTGAAACAACCAAACATAAAAGTAAGGGGAGGGGCAATCCTCCTGCTACAGGGGTTTCATTAAGGGCAGGGCACCTGGCAAATTGACCAGTTGTGAGGATGGTTTTGCCCACCTGGTTTGACGATCTGGAGGAAAGTTATCTTACTAAGAAGTTCAGTCCAGAGAGTTTTGCCTGCCTGTGAAAACTAGGTGCCCTTGTGCTGAAAGCATTAATAAAACCCCTGTGCTATGTTTGTTCCAGGAAGTGGTCATTATAAAAGTTCAGTCATAAAGGGTTTGTTTGTTTGTTTTTTTTATCTTTTATCAAAGGTCCAGGTGGTGATCCATCAACAACACCAAGTAAGTACAGGTTTTTTGCCTCATAATTCAACATTAACCTGGATCTAATTTTCAGCAAAATGAACTGGGTCTCATAAATTAATATCTCTAATGGAGAAATCATTTTCTGAGTCTTAAACTTCCAAGATGGGATTGTCAACTCTTTCCTTGAGCTGCTGTACTTTTCCTCAAAAATCAGTTACAAGAAGTTGGTATTTGATCAAGATAACAACTTTGACCTTATGGGTTTGAGTATTCTCATTACCTGTTTCCTGGATGATGCAGGGATACTTTAGGGAAAATTTCCATGTTTACTACTTCTGGAAGGTTAAAGGTTAATCACATTTCATGCAAACAGCAGCATGCCATGTAACCCCCCTGTCATTGTGTTAGAGTTTAATATCAGCTGTTGCACTAGTATTAAAAAGTAAAATTACTGCTTTTCAGCAAGTGGAGCTGTTTCCTTCTCAGCCAGTGCAGGCCTCATCGTTTCTCTCATTTTGGCTTTGTGAGTATCAGAAATACTCTTGTTTTCTGTTCAAAGATAATAACATTGTCACAGATTGTGGTCTTAGAAAGAGCTGCACTGGCCTACTGTTTAGCAGAAGTAGAATCAGTATTTTTTATTGACAGAGTTCAAACTTTGATGCAAAACTTTTTTGATACTTGAACCTGAGTAGTGCACCAATGGATTTGACTGTCCATTGGAAATGGCAAGTTTTTGAGTTGAACAAAAGTGTCTTGTCTTCAAATGAGGATGAGTTAAAAGTTTAGTTCATAAGAAAAGGTGTACAAGGTCTAGAGTTTTAAGTTTAGTCAACAAGCTGAAACTCAGGGTAGCTGATTTTGCTGAGAAAAATGACCATCAAATAAGGCACTTGAATAAAGCATTTTAACACTATCTTGGTCCAAGGGGGGCAGGAATTTGAACAAACCAGTCTTAAAATTTAAATTGCTAGGAAAAATGGGATGTTTCAACTTTGAATTGATGAAGGGATAAGTTACTGAGAAACATTTAGGGATCAATCAAGTTGAGTATCAAGACACTATGCAATTCTGTCTTTGGAGAAATGTTGTTTTACTCCAGTACTAGTGGTATAAACACCTGCAGGTCTGAAAGGGGAAGAAGGTTGGGGCACCCCCAAGCCCCCCCTCCCCTGGACATTGAATCCCTGGCCAAATCTAGTGTTGTGTTTTCTGACGAGGTGATTCATTCTCGCCTTGGCTCTCTCTCCTCTGGGGAATGTGTTTGAATACTAGCAATCTGACAAAGAAACTTCATGAGATGAGAGGAGGGGGTTAACCTACGTTAAACTGGCAGCTTTACCGGGGGGGTGGGGGTAACTCTACTTCTGCCTACGTTGTTCTATGGAGTCAATGAAAAGCTTTTCTGGTGTAGCCTAACAAGCAAGAGGGCTAACTTTTTTCCTTTCTTTTCCTTTTTCTTTTAAATGTAGGTTGCATTAAGCAGGAAGACTCCTTGCTCCTTGTTTGAAGCCATGTAGTTTTTTATCTCTTTTTACTGTTGATTTAAGAGTGCAATTCTCAGCTTAAACCTCGCAGCATATTAAACTCCAAATTTATGAAAGGGAAGCCTGGAAGTTGCCTTCTAACACACACATTGTCATGGAGCTCTGTGTAATAACAATTGTGAAAGGCTAAACCGTGTCTGTAGGAGGCAAGCTTGAAGTTTGATGCATGTTAAGGGTGTTTGGCTGAGTTTAAAAATATATTGCAAACTTGTATATCTCTTAAAACTCCAAAATATTCCATAGGATTACATGTAGCCACCAGTGAGCATATTAGGTGTTCAGGATGACCTTTTTTTTATATAGAAATTTTGCCTTGTTTGTGAACAATAAAGCATCAACTTATAAATATGTATACTTAAATGTGAGTTTTCTTGGCTATTGAAGGGATAAAAAAAAAATCAACAAATGTCCTCAATTTAAGTCTAATTCATTTATTTCTGTGCATGACTATGAGAACTCTCTCCTCTTGGCAAAATATGTTGCCCAAGTCAAAACAAAAAAAAAAAGGCAAGAAGAAAAAAATTGATGTGAGCATGCTGTTCTGAACTCTAGGAGTGCATCCCACTTGCAGAGTTCTGCCTTGTACTGAGCTCCTTCCCCTGTGCTTCTCACCCCTTGTACTTGCCTTGGGGAAAAAAAAAAAACAAAAAACACAAGGCCTTATTGATCATGTGAGGAGAGAGGAAATGTTTAGTTGAGTGCTCCTTTTACACCAATGGGGATTTGGTGAGTAACTGTGAAAAAAAAAAAATTAGTAAAGAAGTGGCTTTCATTAATTTTAACACAAGACTTGCAAGGACAGAAAACAACACCTAAAGTAGACTTGACAATAAGGTTGAAATGTACAGCTTGTAGAATCTTCCACTCCATTAGATCTGAGTTCCCTAATCTTGGTTGTCTTGTGCTAATCCTTCTTTCAATCTCAAATACTAAAAAAAAAAAAAAAAAAGATACTAAGTGGTTTCACCATTTAGATGTAAAGAGTAACTAGCAGCTAACTTCTGACATAAACAGGGCTCGACACTAACTTTTCAACTTACTAGCCTGGTGGCTAGTGACAACTTAGATGTTACTAGCCCAATTTTTTTTTTTTTTTTACTAGCCAAGCTTTGATGTTGGCTAGGTCCAATAACAGCAGAATTACTAGCAAGACTTGAAAGCACAATGCAAACAACACCTTTTCATATATAATGTTGGTACCGGTAATTGCACTTTACTTAAACCAGTTCCAAAGGTAAAACAATTACTTTGTGAAATGCAACATAGTTAAGATGTTTAGTTACCACTGTCACTGACAAACTCAAACTTAATCAGAATTGCTCAACAAATCATTTTTGTGGTAAAAGGATGACTATACACCACAGGTAAGGAAATTCAACGTTTATTTCTCATTGATTTATATACATAGTCAGCGATATATCACTATAGATGAGGCAAATGGTAAATCTAGTACATTCACTATAAAGTAACCCGCCACACAAACAGATTGTATGGGCCCCCTGTGGTCTTGAGAAGGGAAAAACTAGTTCAGTCAATTTCAATTTGTTGACTAGCCAAAATGGCTGGTGGTAATTGAAAACCACTAGCCAAAACTGAATTTCTACTAGTCTGTGGCTAGTGGGCTACCATTAGTGTCGAGCCCTGATTAAAGGGCTAACATTAAAACTTGCAAAGCTCTTTGCTCTTCTCCATACACACTGTTCTCCATACATTTTCTTGGGTACTGGAAAGGATAATCTGTTTAACAGTCAAAGCTTATAAGGTGGGCAATCATTTCATTTTAACCCTCATGATCACAGTGAATGATTTTGCAGTATGACTGTTAGGTGTTGATTAGTTATGGGCTTTCTAGGGTTAATGCAGTTTCTTACCTTTTTCCTGCTCTGTATGGCTTGTTCTGTCCACAATAGTTCCATGTATTACACATGGGTGACATGACGTATTACACATGGGTGACATGTATTACACATGGGTTACATGTATTATAGATGTCTGACATGTATTACGCATGAATGACATGTATTATAGATATCTGACATGTGTTATAGATGTCTGACATATATTACACATGAATCACATGCATTATAGATATGACATGTGTTATAGATGTCTGACATGTATTATACATGAATCACATGTATTTTAGATGTCTGACATGAGTTATAGATGTCTGACATGTTTTATGCACGAGTGACATGTGTTATAGATGTCTGACATGTATTACACATGAATGACATGTATTATAGATATCTGACATGTGTTATAGATGTCTGACATGTGTTCCACATGAATGACACGTATTATAGATATGACATGTGTTATAGATGTCTGACATGTATTACACATGAATCACATGTATTATAGATATGAAATGCGTTATAGATGTCTGACATGTCTTACACATGGGTGACATGTATTATAGATGTCTGACAGGTATTACACATGAATGACATGTATTATAGATATCTGACATGTGTTATAGATTTCTGACATGTATTACACATGAATCACATGTATTATAGATATGACATGTGTTATAGATGTCTGACATGTCTTACACATGGGTGACATGTATTATAGATGTCTGACATGTATTACACATGAATGACATGTTTTATAGATATCTGACATGTGTTATAGATGTCTGACATGTGTTACACATGAATCACATGTATTATAGATATGACATGTGTTATAGATGTCTGACATGTATTACACATGACATAAATGACATGTATTATAGATATGACATGTGTTATAGATGTCTGACATGTATTACACATGACATAAATGACATGTATTACAGATATGACATGTGTTATAGATGTCTGACATGTATTACACATGGGTGACATGTATTATAGATGTATGACATGTATTACACATGAATCACATGTATTATAGATATGACATGTGTTATAGATGTCTGACATGTCTTACACATGAATGACACGAATTATAGTTGTCTGACATGTGTTATAGATCTCTGACATGCATTATACATGAGTGACATGTATTATAGATGTCTGACATGTGTTATAGATCTCTGACATGTCTTACACATGGGTGACATGTGTTATAAATGTCTCACATGTATTACACATGAATGACATATACTACACATGTCATTATGTGACATCTTTAAAACATGTCAGACATCTATAACACATATCCCTCATGTATAAAACATGTCAGGCACATGTTTTATACACGTGTCTGACTATCATGTATAGATGTACTATACGTATTTTTGCGTGCTCTATTTTCCTTAGTTTTGTAAGTCCATATACATAACACAGATTCAAACTTTGACTCTCAGTCCACTTTAAGGATAAGTGACATTTGCAATTAATCACACAAAACACAGTGGCATACCATGTCCTACCCCCAGTCCTTGTGTACAAGTTAGATATCTGCTGTTACACATGCATTAAGATTAGAATTGCTTCTTTTCAGTGAGTGGAGCCGTTTCCTTCGCAGCTAGTGCTGGCCTCATTGTTTCTCTTGGTTTGGCTTTGTAAGTATCAGAATTACTCTTGTTTACTTTTCTAAGATAGTAACATTGTCACTGGCTTACTGTTTAGCAGAAGCAGAATTTCTCTATTGACAATTCAAACTTTGATGCACAACTTTTTTTCTTTTTGACACTTAAGCCCAAGTAATGTGTCAATCAATCAGACTGTCCTTTGGAAGTGTTAGGTTTTTCAGTCAGATAAGTCTTTATTTCAGCAAAAGTGGACAAATTTCTTTCAGGGGGCAAATCATTTTTTGCAACGAGTCTTCACTTTTTGTTCCCCAGCGGTAGCCACGCCCTGTACAAGTATAATGCTAATACACAA